TAGTGCACATGAAAGTTTTGGAAGTCTTCACATTATTAGGACTTTCTTCTCGAGTTATGATCATTTTACTGAACTTTTAGCCTATTGCAGATCATCACAAAAAAATTGCAACAATGGATTGCACTCTGAAATTCTTTCTAACAATAACTCTCATAGTTCTTATGATATCTTGAAAGTTTCAGCTTATTCGGCTATTTCCATTCTGACATAACATGTTTTCAAAAAACGTTACTTTTACAAAAGAACTTCAAAACTAGTCGAGTTGTTAGGCATACAAGATCTTAAGAAGAGACAATTCATTTGAGTTGAAGCTTTCAGGATATCATAAGGCTTATGAAAGTTATTGTCGGAGACGATTTCAAGGCGTTATTCATTATTTGGAATTTTTCTCATAATATTCTATAATAGGCTGAAAATTCAGCAAAATGACAATAACTCGAGCAGAAAAATTCCATGACATGAACCCTTTCATTGACATTATAAGTCTTATTTATGAGCAAAATATGAACTCAAGCGAAGATTATCAGTCTTAATCATTAAATGTTTCTACATACCAATCATAGGAAGATTAGAAGAAGCTTTTGGTGTATAATTTGATATAAGTTGAAGAAAAACTGTTAATGCAAGAAGAATAGTGATTGTTAATGTAATTTTTTCACCTGAATCAGGTGGAAGCCAAAAAACAAATAATGTTAAACAAGATAATATTGAAAATGGAAATATCATATGATTAACATAAAATTGATAATTACGTTTCATATTTATATGAAATACAAGCCATAAATAACGATTCATTGTAGCATTTCGTACAACTATTTGATAAACTTGCCATTCAGTACGAATATATTGATTTTGTTGACGTAAATTTTGTGGTTGATGACGAACTAGTAATTCATTGGATGGACGTGACCATGATTGAATTTCGAGTGTACAATTTTGTTTATCTAATAAGAAAAAGAAAGTAAAAATCGTAATTAATAGAAGTTTAAGCTAAATTGTTTTTTTTTTTTTTTGTTTGTACCAAATGGAAAATAAGTAATAACAACATCACAATAGGATCGAAATACATCAGGAAAAACCCATTCAACTGTTCCATTCCAATAAACAGTTAATAAATAATGTTCACGTTGTTGAGAATAAGCAACTTCAGCTGAATTAAATAAAACAATATCGGGTGTCCATATTTCACTAGCAGAAAAAACTGTATGATTTTGATCATTATAATCACTTGGTAACCATTTTAAATGTTCATCTTGCCATTTTAATGTTACTTGAACATTAGTTGTCATTACTTGATTTTGTTCATCCTAAAGAAAGAAAAAAAATATGAGATCTATTCGAAAATAAATAATTTACTTACTAAACTCATGACTTGAATAATAGTTAAACCAACATCAACTATAGTTACAGTTGTTGTATTTATTACTGGTCGAGCTTCAGGAACATAATGATCAAGTAAAGTTGCACGTAAACGACATTCATCTGAATTGAGTTGTTGTTCTATATTGAAAAATGAAATTTATTTCGAAGAAAATGTACACTTTTTATTATTGATTAGTTCGAAAATAATTATAATAAAGTATGTTATTTAGTAATTGTGTAAATCAATCAGATATGTCACTATAACGAAGATTGATGAAGTGTCACTTCACATTTTCTTTCTCAACATTCCATGTTACAGAGTCTTTTCGTATTGTCATATGTTTTTTAGAAAGTTTTTATAATCAAAAACGATATGTACATCGACTTATGTTATTAAACATAAAATGATCTTTTTACAACAAACAAAAAAAAGCTTGTCAGTTCAGCTACTTTAATGTTAAAATACGAAACTTACATGTATTCTTTACTTTCACTATACTAATACAAAATATATCAAGTAAAAATTTTCTATTAAGACTATCGTTATTTTCCAAGGATAATCAATTGACAGAAAAACGATCTATCTTATTTATTTCTGCATTTCGAATAGAATCTGTTTTTCTTTTCTTTTGTTATCTATTATTTTTCTTAATTTAATATGATTATTATTCTAACCATTGATTTCACTGGCACATAAGTATGTTGTACATGTCTTTTATATCTACAGTAGATCTCAACGGATTAGTATGCATCTCAATAAACTTCGAAATATTAATATTGATTATTTTTTTATGCTAACTATCTTCATAATATAATGTCTATCACAAAACAATACATTATTACTCATGATCCTTCCTATCTATCATATGATTGTTAGTCTGTGTAAAGATCAGAAACTGTGCTATTTAAACCATTCGCAAACGTATTCCAATTATTTAAATTTCAAGAAACACTTTGAAATTTTCTAGAACCGTCTAAGACTTATTCTTGATACTTTTTAATGGCTTTTTCCGTTAGTAAGAACCTACAGAAAAAAAAGTTTGGTGTATGTTGTTCTCGGTTGATAGAAAAAACATGCTCATTGATATCTGAGCACTGTCTTCCGGTTGCTAGAGCCGAAAAGCTTTGACTTAGAACTTACACTCACTATTTTTCTTCGAAAAAATATCTCTAACTTGCACAATACAGGCGATAATTGGATTATCACACCAAGAAGCTCTTCGACCATATAATAAGATTCAAATTCATAGAAAATAATTCAGACGTTAAACTTACGTCTATCATCTATATTTGTATCATCATCATATCCAATTTTCTTACTTCGTCCATTTCCAACTTTGGCTTTCTCTATTTTTGGACTTTTAAATTTCATTGAACTACTAGCTAACGCTGATGAACCTGATGATAAACGAGCATAAGAACTGAATATATAATGTACAAAAATTAATAATAATTGAAATGAAAAATTGAAATGCATTGTTTTCCAAATAATAAATTTCATAGAATGTTACAGTTCCATATCAATGAAGTTCAATAAATGTTAATCTATTGATTTGTTCTATCAATAATGGTAGTTTTATCGTCTATCGTTCACATTTTCTTGTATTGAGCTAGAAATGGAAAGAAAAACGTTCCTGAAAACTATCGATGATTATAAAATGCATCAATGATTCGAGTTCACGAAGAAAAAAACAAATAGATAGATAGAGAGACAGAGAGAGAAAAGTTAATTTAGCTCTCGACACTCAATTTCTCTACTTGTTGTTGTGTCTTCGTCCTCGATTCCTAGCACTATATCATGAGTGTGACAAAAAAGAAAATGATGATAATCATGATGATGACAGTGGCAGCAGCGAAAAAAAAAAGGAAAAACATTCTATTCAGTTGAAATCTAAGACCAAGACAGAGAACAAAATAGAGAAGAAATAGAACAGAACAGATCGAGTTAGCGAGCTTTTTCGATCACTTGATGTGATAAATAGAAAAGAAACATTTATATTTAAAAAAGAAACAAGGGTAAAGCATTTTTATAAGTATATAAACATCTGTTCATTGATGTCTTCGTACCGTTTTCAATGATTTGCACATATATTATTTCGAAAAAAAAAATACTTTTTTTCATTAGTATTCGAAGAGCTTTATTAAGTGACGGTTGGTCAGTTCGTATCATTATTGATTGAATTATCAATAGCATTTGTCAAAGCCAATTAATTCATTTTATATATGAATTACATGATTTTTGTTTTGTGTAAAGAAACAAATCGATCAAATAATAAGCGCCTTAAAATCCAATGAATTTCAAGTGATTACTGTGGAATTTATGAATGAATTATAATAATAAAAAAATCGTTATTTGAATCATTTGTCACTTTATATAATATAAATAATTTAGAATGAAAATGTTTGTTTCTTTTTATTACTTTCATTTTCTCTGAAAAATGTTCAAAAACAAAACAAAAAAAAAAAGCAAGCTTAGAAAGCACAGCAAATATGGCTAGAACAAAACAACAAAAATGAGAAAAGAAAAAACAAGAAGAAATTCTCTATAAATAGAATTTATGTAGATCGTTCTACTGATGATGTTTCTTCGTTTTGAGTTTCTGAAGATTTTTGTTGTTCAGTATTAGCTGTTGATGGATCATAAACAACAAGTGTTGTTTCCATTTGATTACTATTATTTACAATAATTAGATTAATTGGTACTTTAGATTCAAGTTTAGCAAGAACTGTTTGTACATTGCGTACCATTTCTTTACGTTTCTCTTTTATATCAACACTAACATCAGTTAATTCATCACAACGTATCATCATTTTTAATGCTTGTTCATCAAGTTCTTTATATATACGATCATCACGTGTTGAACCATTATATGCATCAACTTGTTGACTTAAATCAGCTAAATTTTGTTTTATTTGTTCAAGTTTTTCTAATGCAATTGTATTGGAATCACGTACAGGAATTGAAGAAATATTTGTTGATGTAGATGTATCATTAGATGGAACTTGCTGATCATTCGATGGCGATGTTGTAGTAGTTTGTCCTGCCATTTGACTAGTGGCATCTTTCGTTACTTTAAAATCGGACTCTTGTACTTGTTGCGATGCTGCTGTTGCTAATGGTGAAGGACGAGTTGGTGATTCATCACGTTGAGAAGCTGGCGAATGCGAACGATCATGTGCTGTGTAAAGAAAAAAAAAATAGATAGAAAAATTAGTTGATATAAATTCAGAATTAAATTTGGTTGTTTTTTTCTTTTTGATTTTTATATTTTATCAAACCTTTTCTTTTTCTTGAAGTACTATTTGATAAACCCATGTCTTTTAAATGTTGATTTTTATTTGTAAACATTTATGTGTATTTAACAGTCATGTTTTGTGAGTTTCTGCCTCGAAGATGGAGCACTGTTATATGCAAAAAATTTTCTTTCACTAGTCGTTTTCTTTTCTTTTTCTTCTTTTGCCGTTCTGTCTCTCGTTCTTTCTCTCATTTTTTTTCTGTCTTTTTTTTTTTTTTTGTTCTGTCATACGTCTGACTAATAAAACAATGATGAACAACAATTGCAAGACACTTTCTCATCTGCACGTACATGATATATTTTGTAAACATAAGTTCTGGCCTTCTATGTCCAATGTCGATGTCATGTACCTGACCGTGATGATTGACGTTGAGATATATAGTAAGGATAATGTTTGTCTAGATTTTCTCGTGAAATTTTCGACAACCAAGGTCGTACTGATGTTGTTTGTTGAGAAAGAGCTAATGTATTTGTTGATAATAGTTTTTGTGATGAAGAAATCTTATTCTCTTGAAAATTAGAGAAAAAATATCTATTTCTTCTATTTTTTAAAAAAACTGAACGGTTACTCATTTAAAAGTAGAAATTGAAAAAAAAATAAATAAATAAATATATTAAGCGCGTATTGTAAAATTTACTTACGTCTATTAATTGTTCCTTGAGGAGATGTATTTGATCGATGATTATTTATTGGTGTATGATAATCAGTTGAATAAACAACATTTGGATTAATAACAGTTTTAGTAACATAAGTTGGTCGATAATAAGATTGTTGTTCCGATGGATATTGTTGATTTGTTGAAAATTTTTTATTTTCATCTGAAAAATCATTAAGTATATCGTATGATCGTCGAAGAGGCTGTGTATATTTGTTTGTTTGTATAAAACTGGAATCAGATCGTAATCCATTATTAAATGTTGATGGATAATGTGAAGTATTTTTTGATTGAATATTTGAACGTATAAAATCATTTGGTGTGAAAAGAAGATCATCACTTGAACGACTAATATGTAAAGAATTTGGTTCATATGTTCGTTGTTGAAAATGATGATATTGTGGTTCGTGATCTATTTGATGAAAAAATCGATCATTATATGGCTGATTAAATTGCGAATCTTGTATTAAACGATCATAAGCAGTAGTTAAATTTTTACGTGGTTGAAAATGACCTTTAGAATACGTATTTATCGATGGTTTTTTCCATGGTGAGGAATTTGAAAAATCACTATAAGAATTATCATGACGAATCGTACGAAATGGAATATAATGAGAATTTGAATTAGTTGAATTTGGTTTAGAAACTATTTCGACAGGAATTGAAACAAACTTAAAAAACAAAGAAATAAATAAAAATAATTAGTTTTTAATCAAAATTAAATGCTTACTCCAGTTGGACGACCAGAAGTATTTGCTGAAGACATTGCTGTATGTTGATAATTTATTTAGATAGTATTCAAATATGAGAAAAGATAATAATCTATAATAAAGAAGTTGATGTTATCTATTATTTATAGGTGTATAAACAGTACTAATAGCTCAAAAATATATTCTACCGAGCAAACTGATGTGCATGCTGTTATTATATACGGGAGTGGTAAAGAGAGAACTATAGAAGTTTGTCGTTCTTTTATTTCTTTTCTATTAACGCCTCTTCATTTCGTGAGTTTCAAAACTTAGAGTTCTTTTTTAACAGCTTATATACATTCCAATCGAATGCGTCAATAAACGAAAAATACACACCTGCAGCAGATTTATCAGACGTCATATCAAATGGCGTCATGAAGAACAACACAAAAACATGAATTTTCGTTTTTATATCTTATAAAAATACTGACTCATGTTTTAGCTATTTCTTTATCTTTTACGTACAAAAAAAAAAAACTAAATTACCTACGCAAAATATGTTTATTACCTCGTTAGTATAAACTCTAACATTTAGATACGTATAATAGAAATTCTTTAAATTCCATTTTCGTAGTTTGTTGTGAAAAATTATACAACGTGGAGCAAAAAAAAAAAAAGAAAAAAGAATTACTGTGTGAATCAGTACAAACTCTTTGCGTTACTTATGTCATCTTATCAAGAATATTGTATACATAATATAAGTGCTCCTTCTTTAAACATAACAGTCGTCTAATACAATGTAATGTTGATGTTCAATGTTCTTAAGCAACCAATTCCATTATCTCACTTATTGATGCAGACAGAAAAAAGAATATTATTCATTAAATCTTTGCAACAAACTTTTACCTTCTGATTGTGTATTTATATGATGTAATACAATACCCTATATATATATATATATACATATACATCTATATATTTATTCAACGAAATAATCAGGCTTTCTTTTTTTTTCTTTTATAATATGCGAATAGTAATCAATTTTTCTTTTTCTTTTTAGACCTACGTATTTCTTATTGAATATTGCAGGTAAGTTATTTTTTATCGTCTTTATAAATACAAGGACAAGTATTGTTTCTGTCGATCTATGTATTGTTGTTATTCTCATTTTTAATTCTAAGTCAAAATGACACCTGTTATTATGTTTTCATCATCAATAGCAAATAATATATCGATTTACCTTCGAACGCATATTCGAGGGTCAAATCAAAAAAATATTGACAAAAAACAAAATATATATATTTCGATATAAGAACAGAAATACATTATGGTTTACATAATGTCGTTATAAGATGTAAAGGCATTCAATTTATTCTTTGTTTTATTTTATTTTATTTTTTATCTATCAATCGATATTACAATCCAAAAAAAAAAACAACACAATGCAATATCAATACAATAGACACCTTTTGTCGTTCGGTAGATTTCTTTTTTTCTTCTTTTTATACATTTGCTGAATGATTTTATCTTCTCAAGAGTATTGGAAGATTAAGAACAAATATAGAATAAGAGAAAAGAGCAAGAATAAATCTCCTGTGATATATTGCCTAAATACAACAAGGAAAAAAGAAATTGGTAAACATGTAATAGATTACAGTGAATAAACTAAACTGGTACACTGTTTTATGGATTTATTTTTCGTCCTTCAAGTAATGTTTTGACTTCATCAGCTGAAAGTGTTTCAAAACGAAGTAATGCTTCAGCTAGAATTTTAAGTTCATGTGAATGTTGCTTCAATAATGCTTTTGCACGATCATATGAATCCTGTTATTAAAAAGAAAAAAAAAAAGAAGATTAAAATAATTTTGATTAAAGATAATAATAAATCTTTACCTGCATGAGACGTTTTATTTCTAAATCAATCATTTCTTGCATTGATGGACTTATATCATTAACACGAACAAAACCTAGACCAGCATCTTGTTCTTCTTCTCGAAATGATCTTGTACCAACTTTCTCTGACATACCAAATTGTTTAACCTATTTTAATAAGACAAAAAAAGGAAGCATATCTTAAACGTTTGTCAGCGCAGCCCTTTCGGGGCTGAAATATGAAACTCACATGTGTTTTTTAGCTTCGTTATACTAATACAAAATAGGTTAAGTGAAAAATTTCTAATAGACTATTGTTGTTCTTCAAGGATTATCGATTGTCAAAGAAACAATCTGTCTTATTTATTTCTGCACGTCGAACAATATTTTTTCTTTCATTTTTACTGACGTTCTATTTATTGATGACCTTGTTGTTTTTTTCGTGTTCGTATTCCGTTTTTCTTAAATTAACAATATTATTATTCTAATCATTGATGTGACTGGAAAATAAGTCTATTGTGCATATCCATTACATCTACAACATGCCTCAACGTACTATGATATCTCGATAAGATCAGAAAACACTGATATTAACTATTTCCCAGAGTTGTAACTTGATGAATTCACGCTTTTTATGTTGATCATATGACGACTGTGATAAATCAATACATCATTACCAATCATCCTTGGCATTTTGAATATACTTGTTTATCTGCGTAAAAATCAGAAACTATGCTATTGAGAATATTCACAAACGTATTCTAGTTATTTAAATTTCAAGGAAGGCTGCGAAATCGTCTAGAACTGTGAAAGGTGTGTTGCTAATGCCATTCAACGTCTTGTCTGTTGATAAAGATCTATAGGAAAAAATTCTGGTATTCGTTGTCCACGATAGCTATAGAAACTGATCGAATGACTAGGGGATTTTCTTTCTCCCCCCTCGACTGTTAGAAATAAAACTTAATTGGTCAGTAACCTTCGACCTTGGTTATTATGAAATGTAAATCTTCAAACCCTCGACTTAAATCTTATACTCTCAATATTTTTCTTCGAAAAACATAGTGTGAGTTTCACAAAATAAATACAAAAACAGAAGAAGCATTGAATTACCATATTTGTTGCAAGTTTTGTTGCTTGATTAAAATCACTTGCTGCACCGGTTGTTATTTTATCCGTACCAAATATTTGTTCTTCAGCAGCACGTCCACCCATCATAACATCCATTTCAGCTAATAATTGTGCTCTTGTTCGATTGTATGTTTCTTTCAATGGAATATGTGCTGTAAAACCAAGTGCTTGTCCACGTGGAACTATTGTTACTTTATGTAATGGATCAGCATCACTAGTAAAATATCGAACTATAGTATGACCGGCTTCATGATAAGCTGTTATATTATTTGTTTCATGATCAGGTATTTTAGATTTTTTTGCTGGACCCATTAGAACTTTATCACGAGCATGTTCAAGATGTTTCATACTAACTGCTGGTGCATCAATTTGTGCAGCATAAAGTGCAGCCTATACCAAAACAAAAAAGTATAATATTGTTTAATTTTTTTATTGTAGAAACATACTTGATTAACCATATTTTCAATATCAGCTCCAGTAAATCCTGTTGTACCTTTTGCTAAATATTCTACATCAATATTTCGATCATATGTAACTTTGGAAAGATATAGTTCAAATATTTCTTTTCGACCACGAAGATCAGGTGGTAATATATGTATTTCCGAATCAAAACGACCTGGTCGTAAAAGTGCTGAATCAAGATAATCACGACGATTTGTTGCAGCTAATATGATAATTCCTTCATTTTTTTCAAATCTAAATATGATATTTAATAAAGATAATGATTATTGTCTTTTTTATGTTTTAAATAAATTTATTTTACCCATCCATTTCTGCAAGAAGTTGATTTATTGTTTGATTAGCATATGGATGTAATTGTGAACTTGATCGTTTAGCACCAACAGAATCAATTTCATCAATAAATATAACACATGGTGCACGAGCTTTAGCAGCAGCTATAATTAATTATTAGGATTATTATTCATTTTCAATTAAAATTTTTCGAATTAACTTACTGAATAATTGACGTACACGACGAGCACCTGTACCAACAAACATTTCATCAAATTCTGAACCAGATGTATGGAAAAATGGAACACCAGCTTCACCAGCGACAGCTCGAGCTAAGAGTGTTTTGCCTAAAGATAATTTCTATGTTTATTTCTTTTGCAAACAAAATAAACACGAAAAAAACAACGACACTTACCAATACCAGGTGAACCAACAAGCAATACACCTTTAGGAAGTCGAGCACCTAATTTTGTATACCTCTCTGGTTCTTTAAGATATGCTACTATATCAATTAATTCATCTTTTGCTTCATCAGCCTAATCAATAAATCGAAAAATATTTTTATTGCAAAAAAAAAAGAACTATATTAAATTTTTTTACCCCTCGAACATCAGAAAAATTAACTTTAATTTCTTCTGGATTAATTTCATATTTACTAACAGTTGAAAATGCATTTGCAAATCCACCGCGAACATTATCTTAAAATAAAGCCAAAATTTAAAATTTATTAAAATAAAAAAAAAACAAATATATATGTATACATACCACCACCAATGGCAGAAATAATATTTAAAAGAAGCATGATTAAAATACCATAAAATAATATAACACGTACGGCTTTAAATAATGATGGACGATCTTTTGGTTTTGATTCACCACCAGCAGCAGTTGCTGCAACATAACCTATAGAATATTTTGAAATTAGAAATTAATAGACAAAAAAAAGGTTTTTTCTTTAATAAATAAATAAATAAATTCTAACCTTCAGCAAATGCAATTTTTACTTTTTGTTGTTCATCAATATTCGATGTTGTTTGTAACATATCCTGAAGACGTTTTCCATCAGTATTTTGAGATGGAGCATTTCCACGACCATAATAGTGCATAAACTTAAGAAAATAATTAAATTAAAAAAGAACAAAAACAATGTAATCAAATAATAAAATTTACTCGATTGACAAAAGCTGTTAATGGTGGTTGATTTGTATCAGTTGCATGTTGTGAGTGTCTTCCACTACTACCTACTGATAATCGATATCCATCAAAATCATTTGAGACTCGAGATGAGCCTGACATTGTACCACTACTGCTACTTTCACCAATACCGGTTGCCTGTGCATGTCGT